TTAAATGAGATGACAGTTTACTAGTAAATGAATTGTCTAGCACATTGTAAAATAGAAGAAACTGGTTAATATAAGGTAAACATAGTGCATCCTGGGTAAACTGTGTTAATTTACTTTAAAATGGTCTGTATGGGAGGGCGATACACTGAGAACAAACACATCACTATGTGACAGCCGTGCACAAAAGGTCTCCCTGAATCAATCACACAGAAACCACCAGGTAAACCCCAAACGAAGCTTGCAAACAAGACTAGTCTGGATATTCCAAAATGTCACGAAAGGGGAAGAAAAGGACAAGGAACTGCTTCCGATGTAAGGAATTACAGACAAAGCAACTACATGCAGCCCCGGATGAAGGTATTGAGGCTTAAATTCATACTTAACATACTTAAAAACACGTTGTTGGAACAACGGGGAACATCTGAATGTGGACCCAATAGACAGTAACAAAGTTAACTTCCTTGTATGTGGTGATAATTTTTTGTTTTTACCTAGAATGCCCTTCTTTCTGGAACATAAGAATTGTTTAGTGACGACATGGCACTAAACACTAATTTGGCAAATAGTTATACATGGTAAATCTAGAGAGAGGTACAGTACAGGTGTTCACTGTACCATTCTTGATTCTCTGCTTAGGGTTAAATTTTTTTAAATTGCAAATGGAGGACATTTTTTTGATTTTGAGTGAGAGATATATCCTAAGTCAGTCTGGGCAGAATGCATACAGCACATACCTGCTTTAATCTTTGCAATCATGGGCGAGACTTCTGAGGTTGCCATAAAACACAACTGTAAAAAGCTTTAACTCATTCTTGCAGACTGACGTCAGATGCCAAAATTCATAAGAGATTACAGAACAGCACTCGGATTTTTTCATAACATTTATATTTAAATTTCCAGAAGGTGTTACACATTTTAAAGATAAGCTTCGTTTGTGATTCATTTATTCTATCAAATGACTTACCATATAGCTGCTGAGGTAAGCTAGAAAGAAACCTATCAATATAAATCTGCCGGCCTACAAACTCTTTCACGAGAAAGCAACAAAAAGCTTAACCAAGTCAAATGACTTTTTCCAGACAGAGCTGGATGGACTGCAAGAGCGGGGTCCACGTTCCCTAAGGGACACCGAATGCCCTGGTTTGTGCCTGTCGTTCCTCATCTCTTCTTATTGAGCATTTGTCCCAGGCAGGCAAAAGCACCTCAGCTACAAATGTCTCGGTTTAGATGCTACATCATGCAGTACTACAGTGTAGTTAACTTCTCTTATATGATGGTATTTAATGTTGATTTAGAAAAACAAACAGCGTAACATGAAGCATGCCACTTGTGCTTTAGATAATATGCCCTACATTATGGTAAATTCCTTACTAGAATGGAGAAAAATGGTTCTAACGTGTTTAGAAAGCAGAAACCAAAGTTATCTTTTTCTCTACTGTGTAATGTAGAATAGAACACTGCACAGCTGGGAGTCAAAAGGCCTGTCACTGGTTAAGGGAATATAACCTTGACCAAGTTATTGGCTCTGTCTCAACCACAGCCTTCTCTTGTGAAAAATGAAGGGATCAAAATGCTGACTGGTCTCTACCTGATGTCATCGTCCAGCTCTAAATACTCAGTAATTTCATGGTTTTGGCCACCAAAATATTTTTTAATTGAATCAGCTGAGTTAGACTTTTTTACAACTAGAAAATATAACTTGCCTTCCTTCCCAAACTGCTATTTCTGTTCTGACCTTTCCTCTGTTCGGAGGCTGGGTGAATCTCCCATTACCCAGGATGAAGGCCACTTAGACTCCTCTCAACTCTCCCTGCTTCCACCTCCTCAGGGACGTTTTCTCTCTCGCCTTTTCTATCCCTTCAATTCAGGTCTGCATCACCACAGTTATCATTCTAGACCACTAGTTATCATTCTATCATCTTGCTACTTTGGAATATATAATAGCTTCTCCATCTGCCCCACCTTTTTATGCCAATTGTACTACTCACTGCCATTTCAAAATTCCCTGTACTTTCCGGATCATATGCCTTTACCCCTGCTGTTCTTACACAGCCCTTTTCTCTGCTTTTCAAAATCGATTCCATTATTTAAAGCTCAGTTCCAATGGTGATCAGTTCCCTTTTCAGTGTCCATAACACTAACATAAAGAGACAATTTTACTGGCCAACAGTGGAGAAAGACAGCTTACCTAGGGTGGTAAAAGAAAATTATCTCTTGTGCCAATTTTACTGACCTTGTTCCCTGGCACAGGGTCCTGAGAACTTAGCAGAGGAAAAGGAGAATTTCTGGCAATACAAATTTGACATTTCAGATACTAGAAGTCAGAGGTCCACACAATGGGATTTACACTCCCAAGGTATTAAAAGATGTTTAAATTAACAGAAATTAAATTAACATTTAAAGATTTAACATTACATGGTTATCTTCAGAAAAAATACAAAGCTCCAGAACAGTGTTTCCAACTGAGACAATTTGTCCCCCAACCCCCAAGGGGGATTCTGGCAGTATAGAAAGACATTTCTGATAGTCACAACTGGATGGAGTGTGTTACTGGCAGATACTGAACAGTCTACAATGCATAGGGCAGGCATTGCAATAATAAATGATCTGATCCAAAACATCAACAGTGCCCAGGTTGAAAAACTTCGATCTAGAATAGCATGTATTTCTGCCTCCTCAGATATTCAAATATTTCCAGATGAAAAAGCATGTCTCTAATCAGAGACAATATAGTCTGAAGCCAGACAGCTCCTCCAATTTCCAGTAGCATGATCTCCTGAAAGTTACCTAACCTTTTGGTGCCTCTAAGTCTTCATCTGTAAAACAGGGATAATAAGAGCACCTATCTCACAGAATGTTCCAACAACCAGGTGAGTCCATTTAAAGTCCTTGGTAAAGTATATCAGGCAGATATAAGCCTTCAATAAATTTAGCTACTTTCATTCCTCTCCTCCCTAAGGCCTTGTCTTGCAATTGGAACATAGAAGGTGCTCAAGAAAGGTTTCCTAAGTGAATAATGCCTGTTCTTCCTGGGGAGGGCACAAATAGGTAAAGATAGATATGTTCTTTATTGAGGGGGTGGGGGGGAGGAAGAGGTAAAGGTGGAAGGAACCATTTGCCCTCCCACTCACATCTCTCCCTCCACAGTTTCCCCTCTAGGAAATGTGCCCCTCTCAGGCCCTTAGGGCAGGCCATCCTGTAACCTCCTTTCTATGTTCTTTTTGGTCCCTTCTGACCAACTGAAGATGCTCATTCATAATGAGAAGGTGTCTTCTCTGGCCGCTACCGTCACCTACCATATATTAATTACTTATGGACTTACTGTCGTCTTCCTATAGACTGTACAAGCTTTCCATGGCTAGGGACAACAGGTGAGTCCTTTTTATATAACCCAAAGGCCTACATACAGACCTTAGCAACTGTCCAGTCGAGCCTGTCGTTTTATACATTCGGCACACAGAGGCTAAGGGAATTGCCAAGAGTCAAGGTCATATTGTAAGTGGTAGTTAGAATTCAAACTCTGATACTTAACTGATACAGAGAATCCAAGTATTATACTATCTGACTGACTGTAATCACATATGAAAACTCTATCTGTGGTAGAGACCACTTTTTTAATTAAGTACCAGAAAACCTCTGCAGGAATTATACTGATAGTTACCTGACAAAGCAAAAATGGAGAGAAATAGACCCAAACTCCAAGCTCCTTCCTGCTGCTGAAATTACACCTTGAAGACTCCACCTGATTTGTATCTTTAACATTTCCTTAATAGCTTCTGACAACAAAACTTATTTAAATGTCCAACAAACAGTTAAGTAAGTAAAGTCAGGCTTAATTTCCTTTAAATGGTTCCATAATTATTTTAAATAACAGAAAATCTCTTCTTTGGTAGTCAATGATGCCTACCCTTCTCCAACTGAACAGAATCTTTAAAAACCACTTTAACAGACTCATATCTCAAAAACTCAAAAAACCAGCAATTTGAAATGATCCTATATGGCAAAAAACAGGCAATTGGTGTTGTGTGTTAACCTCAACATAAACTAAACCTTACAGTCCTCAAGCAAAAACTACACGAAGACCTGAGACAGGAGAAATTTTATTTTACTCTGTTCAAGTGAAACAAAGCTGTTCATTTGTCAGGTTAATCTGGAAGTTTCTCTGAATGTCCCAAATATTGCAAAAGAAAGCAGCGAGTAGGAAAGAAAAAGACTGTAAGACAGAACACTGAAAAAGTTAAGCATGGTGAATTGATTGCTTTGACGCTTAAGCAATTACAGCTCAATAAAAGTAAACAATTCCATAAACTTGATGACATAAAGGCGTCATTAAAAAACACACACACACACACACACACACAAAAAAAAAACAACACTCCCTCTGAGGTGATGATTTGTTACCAGTGCAAAAGCACTCAAGCCCAGTAAGAATGGTAACCACATATGGGGAACATATTTTAAATTATTTTACCAGCCTACAAAAGAGCGTAGACAGGAATCGTAGTTTCGAAAGAAAACAAAACGCAGTTTCTGCTTGGTGAAGTTCAAGGGCAAAACTGCTCCCAGTGCGACAGAACCCTCCTGACTACAGTGTTTGGGGGGGGGGGGGGGGGGAATGCGAACACATATTGTCTTTCTATAAAGGCAACAATTTGAGTTACAAAGTAATAACGGGGAAGCCAAAACAGTTTGACAGCACGCCCTAAGGGCTGCCTCAATCGTGAGTCACACAATGCCTGCAACCACTTACAATAGTAATTAATGCACAAGTCCCCTAATTAAATCCTAAAAGGGCGAGAATGCTTTAACTAAGTTTACAAGAATTGCCTCTCGCTGGTCGCCCCAAATAAAGGCAAACACGCTAATGACGCGGCGCCCGCAGCCCCGCCGCCGGGACGCGCGGCCCCGGGCGCTGCCTGGCGCGAGGACACGGGGACCCGCGGCCCGAACAGGCGCAGAGCGGGGCTCCCGCCGCGGGGCGCGGCGCGGCGCCGTCTTACCTGCTAAGAGTCCTCTCCACGTCTTTGGTCGCTTTAGCTTCCAATTCTCTGAAAGAGAAAGGGAGGGACGCGCCTGAAGCGGAGCCCTGCCGCAGAGGCGGCGGCGCGGTGGGGGAGGGGCGGGCGGCTGCGGGGCTGCAGCCCTCGGCGCCCAGGGGCGGCGGCGACCCCCCCCGCCCGCCCGCGGCCCCCGCCCGCCGCCCGCGGGGAGCAGCCCGCGCCCCACCCAGGCCCGCAGCGCGGGCGCCCGGCCCCGCCACCGCCGGCCGCGGGCCCTGCGGCAGCGGCTCCCCCGCCGCGGAGCCGAGCCGCTCACCTCATGTGTAAAGTGCACGAGCGAGTGGGGCGGGCGAGCGAGGCCGCGAGCCTCAGGCCCTGCGCAGCGCCGCGGGGACAGGCCCGAGCGGCCGCGCCAGCGCCATTTTCTACACCGACCCGCCGCTGCCGCCGCCGCAGCTGCCGCCGCCGCCGCAGGCCCCCGGCCGGAAGTGAATGCCCCGCTCCGCAACCCCTTCCGGGGCGCCCCGCCGCCGCCTCAAGATGGACACCTAGCAACTGGGCCCGCGCCGGCCGAGCCCGTGGCAACCGCCGGGCCGGGCGCTGCCCCTGCCCGTCCCCCCTGCCGCCGCCCGGGCGCCCGCACAGCGCGGGCCGGGGTCCGAGCCCGACGGCGTCGCCGCGCCGTTCCGACGCGACGGAGGCCTCCCCTCTGCGGCGGCGCGGGCTCCCGCTCCCGCTCCCGCCCCTCCCCACCCCCCCACACACACCACACACTCCCCCTCCCCCACACACACACGGCCCAGGACACACACACTCTCTCTCTCTCTCTCTCTCTCTCTCTCTCTCTCTCTCTCTCTCTCTCTCTCTCTCTCTCTCTCTCTCTCACACACACACACACACACCACACACTCCCCCTCCCCCCCACACACACACGGCCCAGGACACACTCTCTCTCACACACACACACACACACACACACACCACACACTCTCACAGAACCACACACACACCACACACTCCCCCCCCACACACACACACACTCCACACACACACACACACACACACTCACACCGGCCCCTCCCCCACAGAACCACACACACACGCACACACACACGCACACGCGCACACTCACACACGCACACTCACACACGCACACACACACACGCACTCACACACACTCACACGCACACACACACACACTCACACACACACACGCACTCACACACGCACACATACACACGCGCGCACTCACACACACACGCACACACACACTCACACACGCACACTCACACACACACACGCGCGCGCACTCACACACACACTCACACACACACACTCACACACGCACACTCACACACACACGCGCGCGCACTCACACACACACTCACACACACACACTCACACACACGCGCGCACTCACACACACACTCACACACACTCACACGCACGCCCACACATCTAAGCCGCAGGGTCCGCCCTGCAGCGGCCTCAGCCCGCGGGCCGGTGTGACCTTGGGCCGCAGTCGGGCCCGCTCGGCGCCCCGCAGGCGGGAGCACGCGGCGCCGCAGGCCCGGAGGCCTCCCCTGAGCCGGCCGGGGCTCCGGCCAGAACTGCCCCCGGGTCTCACGTGCCCCTTCCGACCCGCGGCCCGGCCCCGGGGGCGGCGCGGGCGCAGAGCTCGGCCCGCGGTGGACGCGGCTTCAGTCTCGGCACACGGACCGGGGAGTGCAGCACTGACAGGGTCCTGGCCATCCTCCCGCACGGGCGGCCATGTGCTGGCCGCTGTCACTGTGTAAGGGCAGCCTGCGGGGCGGAGGCCGGCGCCCCGGCCGAGCGGCGAGCAGCGGGTTGGAAGGTGCCCGGGGCCCCAGCGGCCCGGGAGGCGGGCGGGCGGGCGCTGGCCGGGCGGGAACCGGGAGGAGCAGGGAGATGGCTACGATGGGGCCGGCGAGAAGCGATCCCAAGGGAGCTCGCTAGAAACGAACATACATATGCTTATGGTGCTACATGTGTAGACACGGTGAGATACAGCCGTGCGAATAGCGGGAGAAAACAGACCTGCCGGCATGCAGATAGACAAAGATGGATACACACCGCAGGAAGAGCAGACGGGAGATGCACAATGCACACGCTTGTAGATAAAATTAGGTGCGGACATTCGTGTGCTTTCTTTCCATCCTCTCACAATGCCTTTTTCCTAACGTGAAAATGAGTCTTCCTCTGTGCTTAAACACCCATGCTTTATTCTGAGAAAGAATGGATTTTTTCTCATCCCATTTTCCTCTTTATAAGCAAGGTTCTTCCTCTGGCTTTAAAGAATGCCCAAGTTTCTCCCATTAAAAAGAAACAAAGCCACCTAGACTGCCCCGTTCCCATCCTCTCTGGGGGAGATGTGTACTAAAAACTGAATGAATGAATGAATGCCCAAAGTCCTAAAACACGTGCGCCAAAATGTTATTTTTCTTCTTCAAATGTATCTGTGTGTGCCTGTGTGATTTTTCTTTTTATACAATGAGAATGTGTAAAAAAAAAATTGTTTTAATCAGGTTTAAAAATTGTAAAATGCAGGGAGCACCAAATAAATGCTAGTTACTTTCCTTTTTCTGCCATGGTCCCTACTCTCAATTCACCCACACATTTATTTACTTTTGTTTTCCTTTATCGTCATTTCTACTTAAAATGTTAAAAATTACCCAGCAGTGTGGCTTAGTGGTTGAGCATCCACGTATAAATTGGGAAGTCCCAGTTGGATTTCTTCTCAAATGGGGGCACCTGCACAGGGCACAGGATCTCCAGTAGGGGTTGTGCAGCAGGCAGCTGATCAATGATTCTCGTCGCTACTGTTTCTCTCCCTCTCCCTTCCTCTCTGAAATCAATAAAAGTGTATTTTAAAAATATATATTACAGTATTTCTTTAGGCGTTAAAAAGTATGAATCACAGTATGCTTTCATGCCAGCCTTATGACTAATTTTCCACAACAGCATAAGGCAATGAAAACAGTAATACTATCAACATTTGCACAGCTGTCAAGTTTAGCTGACTCTTTTAAAAATTAGGCTTTTCTTAGCTTTGAATAACTCGATGTTTCTTTTTTTCTTCTAAATATGTTTTTATTGATTTCAGAGAGAGAGGAAGGGAGATGGATTTAGAGAAACGTGGATTGGCTGCCTCCAGCATGCCCCCTATTGGGGATCGAGCCTGAAACCCGGGCATGTGCCCTGACCAGAAATAGGACCAGCAACTTTTCAATGCACGGGAGGACACCCTACCGACTGAGCCACACTGGCCAAGGCTCAGGCTGGAGGTTTGACCCTGTGGACAAAAACAGACTTCATACTTCAGATCCACTGGAGCCACCATTTTTACTTTACTTGCATAATCAGGAACAAAACCAGAAACAGAGTCCTCTATAGAGTAATGGGTGTGAGCGAAAAGGGGCAGCATGCTAACCTGGCTAGCTCAGGGAAGGCCTATGTGGCGGCCTTGCAAACTCCTAAAGTAACCAAAAAGGAGGGTCTGAAATTAAAACTTTTTAAACAAAAAAGTTTATGGTGCGGAGTCATGTCCTAGGCAAAGGTCATGTATCTTCCCTGACAAAGGTCAATCTTTACTTTAACGGAGCCTGGCTATTGTCTTTTTGCATCTACGATAACATATTGTTGGAATGTCAAAGTTCTTTTCCTTGGATCCCTCAAAGCACAGGCACCACAAGTCCCTTTATTTTTATTGAGTTAATTGTTGACTGTTAGCTGTCCTGCACCCACCTAAGTAAAAGAAGTATACATCTGTCATTTTCCTTTTTATCCAATCCCAGACGTTTCCCCACTTTGCTTTCTCCCACCTCCCTAATCTATTATATCACCAGTGCATTTCATGTAATCCATTTCTGCCTCCTCTTTTGATTGTAATGTAGAAAACAAGGTGCAAAACTATCATTCTCAGGAGCATTATCTCAATCCATTGAAACTCAGCTTCCCTGCCTTTTGTCGACAGTTTGGCTCAAATAAACTCACAAAAATTCTTCACAGGCTTAAATGTTTCTATGTTAACATAGGTTTCATCGACATAGCACATTTAAGTAAGCAAATATCATGTTCTACAACAAGCATATTCCCTAGGTTAAGTGAATATTAGAATTTTACAGGCCTCATGGTTGAAGTCTATACAGTTAGAGAATTTGTTTTCTGTGGTATTAAATCTTTTTCAATAATAACTTTTTATGGAATAGTTCAGGAAGAATCTAGATCTCAGGAACGTCCTTGCTTATTCTTAGTAAGCATAATAAGAAGTAGAGACTGTACAAATTTAAATTTAAATTTAAATAAGGCCTTTATTCTCTATTTTTCTTTCTTGGGTGCTTTTTTCCTTTGGTTTCTGAAGTCAGCAGGGAATATATATTCTCCATCCCTCTCTTCCTTGTTCTACTGAGTAGAATACATGATTAGCCTGGTACTTGGAAATTATGTAATTGAAAGAAGATGCTTTTTTTTTCTCCCACGGCTTCACTGTAAAATATCATCATGAGATATGTATGTATTTTTTAGGTAAAGCACACTCAAATATTTTTAAATTTAGAAGAATCTCCACAATAACATATAAATGGAAATTGAGGCATGAACTTGAACAAAATTTCCTGGAGAGTGTGTTATTTGTTTTAACTAAAACTTATCTGGTACTTAATAATGATGTGCCAGCCATACACTGTTCCCAGTTAAGTACTTTACAAATATGAACTAGTCATTATTATCATCCTCACACAGTCCAATGGGGTTGGATGTTTCCCCTATTTTAGGGATGAGGATAATTAACTTGCCCGAAGTCACATAAATAGTATAGTAGAACTAGGCAATTTGGTGCCCAAGCCCAGGTCTCTAACTACTACTTCATAGATCTCGTTTTCTCAATCAATATTAATTGTAGCCCCTTGGAGAAATATTTTATAACACCACTTCTTACTGCCCCAAAATGGTAAACATAGGTAATATATACTACCTAATACACAATTTCAAAATACATATAATGATTTGTCTCTGATATAAAAAGAGGCATAGGATAAAAGTAAGTATAAAAAAATAAAATGCTGCCCTTGGCTGGTTTGGCTCAGTGGAGAGAGTGTCGGCCTGCAGACTGGAAGGGTCCCATGTTCGATTCCAGTCAAGGGCACATGCTCGGGTTGTGGGCTCCTTCTGCAGTAGGGGGCATGCAGGAAGCAGCCAATCAATGATTCTCATCACTGATGTTTTCTATCTCTCTCTCCCTCTCCCTTCCTCTCTGAAATAAAAGATACATATATTTTAAAAATCAATTAATTTATTTAATT